TTGACCTTGTCTGAACCCTTGTAAGGTTAATGAAGGCCATGTACTAGTTATGGCTCTGTTCTCTACACTTTTCCTGTATCTGGCAGACAGCAATGATCATGGTGCTGAGTGATGGTCTCAAGCCACATTGAGATTCGGGAGGAAGTTTTCCGCCTCCTGGCAGAGGTCTGTTTAGGAGAACTCGGGTGATAATCTTGCCAGCTACGGACAGCAGCGAGATCCCGAGGTAGTTGGCACAGTCTGACCGGTCTTTATTATTCATATAAATATTGACGATCGAGGTGTCGTTAAGATCTTGGGGAATTTCCTCCTTCTCCCATATACATTATTCTCCAGGAGAGAGTGGAGACGGCAGGTAAGCAGAGGTCCTCCTGCTTTGTCCATTTCGGCTGGGATTCAATCGGGCTGTGTGGCTTTCTTATTTTTCATCTGCTTGAAGGCAGTAGAAACATCATCCAGGGATGGAGGATAGCTTTGGTGGGTCTGTTCTGAGTGTTGAGAAACTTACTGGGTAGTCTTGACATCCACACTGGTGTTTCAGTTGAGCAGTGAATGGTAGAGCTCTTTCCAGTGCTGATGGATGCCTTCTTCGTTTTTAATTAGGGAGTTACCGTCGGACGAGCGGATGGGGCCACGCCATAAGTAGTTGGGCCATATTTTATTTTGGTGCATCACGCATCTTGTGTTGATCCGTAAGTTTTTGCATTTCACGTGCTATATTTTTCCACCATTTGGTTATTAGTGAGCGAAGTTTGCGCTGGATCGCCGCTCTTTTTTTCTTGGAAGGTATCAACTGTGTTTCGAGACAGGGTAATTCTGCCAGTCAGTGAGTGCAGTACGTTTACTATTGACGAGTACTTCGATTTCCGTGTCATTTTCTTAAAACCAATCCTGGTGTTTTCTGTTGACCTGGACGAAGGTCTCCTTGCGGGTTTTTGTGATGACAGCTTTCATAGGACCACATTCGGCATAGGGATTTTGGATGTTTGTTTTTGGGATATTTATCAGCCCCTCGTTGAGCTGCTCTTTGAAGGCGTTTGCAACCGCTGGATCCTTCAGTCGCTTGGTGTTAAAGCCTTTTGTGGAGGCTTGTTGCCTTCACCGTTTTGGGGAACTGTGAATGGAGATCTTGGCGCTAATGAGCCGATATCTGTATCACGCGGTGATCTCTTTTCTCTGAGAATGATGTAGTCAATAAGATGTCAATGTTTGGATGGTGGGTGTTGCCAATAACCCTTGAACTTGTCGGTCTGCCTAGACAAGGTATTGGTGATAGTGAGGTTGTGTTTAGCACACTTTCTGAGGAGGAGTAGGACGTTGGGATTACACTTGCCTATTCCATTTCTCCCACTGGTTCCCTGCCACATGTAACATCTCTGCCAACTCTGGCATTTCATTCACCTAGGAACACAGCCTTATCTTCTCTGGGGATAGAGGTTAGCACTCTATCAAGGTCGACGTAAAAGGCTTCCTTGATGTCTTCCTCTGCACCCAGTGTTGGGGAGTATGCAGTGATGAAAAAGGCATGACGTGGGTGATTCAGTGGGACTCGGATCATCATGAGATGCTCGTTGATCCTAATAGGCATTTTAGTTAGCCTAAAAATGATGGATTGGTGAATGGCAAAGCCAACTCCGTAAATATGGTTCCTCTTCACAACAGGATTGCCCTTCCAGAGGAAAGTATAGCCGGACCCCCGTTCTGTGAGTCAGGACTCCCAAGTGGCTGCTATGTCGATGTTATACCTAAACAGCTGTCTTGCCACAGGGCGGTTCTTCTTTCAGGATGCTTATTTGTGCCAGTATCCAGAAGGGTCCAAACATTCCTTGTAGTGACCATAAGAAGTTGTATAGTTTGTTTATAATTTGCTCTGTGGTTATGATTATGTTTTCGACCGCATTAGGACGACCTTACTAGGTGAGGTTGCCCAGTCAGGTTGGTTTCTTAGGCAGACTATGTTTAAGACACCTTTTCTAGCCCCCTCCCCATGTGTGGTGAGCAGAGTAGCTCCTGGAAAGGGCTGCTCAATCGCACAGAAAGGACCGCAATGCACTGCTGCCTAGATTCCAGTGCGTAAACGACCATCTTATCTGTGCCGCCCATGTTCACTTATGACTAGAGACTTCCGCAGTCATCTCTGCCTGGCGCCGTCGCCACTCGTCGTCGCCATAGGACTTTTGGGGGTATGGGGTTTTTGATGATAATGAAAAGCATGTTGAGCGGGATGTTGGCTGCGTGTGTTTTGATTTATATGGTGAGGCAGGAGCGCAGGCTGCAACCACTCCTCTTTGCTTTTCCTTTTCCTGACCAGGTGGTGGAAGAAGTTGCAACGGCTGGGGAGGGAGAGTTGCAATGGACTGCCGATAGCCCAGTTTATTGGGTTTCGCCTTAGTAGCCTGTCCATCTTGCATTGCCTTCATCCGCTGTTGTAGTTGTACACATCGGCGTGTGAAAATTAGCCTATGAGCTTATAATAATTTTCTAAGATTAACTTTTTAAACTAAGCAGTGACAGCTTTCAAAGGCAAGAAATAAACTGGCGTCAAGTACTAAGAATTGCAGTGTATTGTTGACTTAGCTTTGCAAGCAGATAACGAGATTTTTCCGTTAAGTTCCAGCAATAAGCAAGAGTTTTGTTTACATTTCAGAACACTATTTACTGTTTACAATACAAGACTGACAGCAATTTCTATACTCTCATCGGATTCTCTGATGGTCGTAGATCAAAAAGATATGAATTCAGTTTTGAATTGCTATTGCATAAGTTCACAAGAAACATACTGATTTACAGCTGGCAGAAGGGTACTCAAACATAACTTCTTAACACTATGTACTCTACACATAACGATATATGATGCCTTCAACATATACTCAATACACCTAGAATGCTTTCTCTCACTGTAGGTATACCTGTTCTAATGTACAATAAATTCATTAACTCTCAATTTCAAATCTCTGAACGTCCCTTATGAGATCGTACATGAGAGAAAACAGAGGTCTAAGACGTACTGAAGTAGTGAGAAAACGGGCGTCTCAACTGGTGGACCCAACAGTCTCACACATGTTTTGTGGGCGGTGGATCATAATATGAATAATTAAGTGTCGAACAGACTACCCACGCTATTGTGACCATGACACCAGTGGGCGTATGCGCCGTCCCTCTTGAGCCCACTCCTGCTTCAAGATCCCCTGCTGGTCTAGCTTAGGCCCCCGAGGCACCCAGTTACCTAGTGTTGCCACGAGGAGGCACAGCAGGAGTCTTGATGGGAAAGAGGCTGTGTACTGGCAGAGAAAGACTTATGCAAGTTTGCATCCCTGTTCACCACGAGAGTTAGCCAGCGGCGGACGCCGAAAGTGAGAGGAAGCAAGCAGTGATTCACCTTAACACTAACATAATGCTGCCACACTAGATGCATTACACCACCCTGTGTATACACACACACACACACACACACACACACACACACACACACACAGGACATTTAATCCCATATATATACTGTAACTGTCCCATTCTTGGTAGGTCCCAATTCTTTTAAACTCCAACCTAACCTTGCTTACCTAACCTCTGAAAATTGGAACCCACTTCCGTAGTTTCCGTTGATGACCTCTAGCCGCGTCTCACCTTTTTCTGCAAATGTTAACCAATTAAAATAGGGACTCGGTTCTAATTGCAAAGGTCGTCAATTTATCTAATCCTCATGGTAAGAATTAGTTAGTGTAGGAAGTAGGGAAATGGCACCCACAAGGACCTCTGGCCTATCTTGTTCCTCCACCTCGTTCTAACTCAAAAAAAAACAAAACATGGCAGTATTTCACTTAGGTCTTAATGCCTTCCTCCCTTCAATCACTTTAAATCCGGTTTCAAGTGAAGAATCTGTACTTGCATGTTAAAATATATATGTACATATAATTTTTAATGTGGATTTTTAATTCTTTGGTAACTCCCGAAGGCAATAAAAAAAATGGTATGACAGGAAAAAAAGAGTAAGCAAATAAATTATAAATGTGATACGCATCTGGCGGCCATGGATGTTTGTGTGAGGGAGTTTTATAATTATATTTTTTTTTCAAGGGTAAAGGGGTGAATGGGTTGGATATTACAAAGTTGTGTTCCTCCCCTCCCCAGTGTGTCTCTCTTTCCCTCTGTATCTGTTATCTCTATATCTCTCACTCTGTCTGTATGTCTGTCTTTTTATCTGTCGATTTGTCTGTCTGTCTGTCTGTCTTTATATCTATGTGTCAGTCTGTCTTTCTTTCTGTTTATGTCTGTCTCTGTCTGACTGTCTGTATCTTTTTCTGTCTGTCTGTCTGTCTGTCTGTCTCTTTCTCTCTCTGTGTCTCTTCTGTCTGTCTCTTTCTCTCTTTTTCTCTCTTCTGTCTGTCTGTCTGTCTGTCATATCACATTCGGTCTTCGCCGTTTCATCCACATTTTTCTGGGCTACTTTAATGGTCAATACATCCGCTAAAACACGTTCACATGTAGAGTCAGGACGAAGGAAACACCATTAATTTATAAACATATATTTTATACAAAAATTAGCTTAGCAAATGTGTGATGCCTTGAACTGACAGAGTTCTTAAACTTGCAGTTAGACTTGAATTCGTTAGTCTTCAACAGATTTTTGTTTTCTTTTTCGTTTTTGCTTTCTTGACTTTTACGACAAAAATAGATTCAGTCCTGGTGATGATTGGGAAGTCTTGTACTGACTAAAAAGACGGAATATCCAGGCATTTCTCAATTAAATTACTATATGGTGTTTTGATAAATATTTGATGCATGTATTTAATATATATATATATATATATATATATATATATATATATATATATATATATATATATATATATATATATATATATATATATATATATATATATATATATATATATATATATATGTGTGTGTATTTGTGTACGATCTATGTGTTATATGTATACCATAAACATTTATGTGTGTATTTGTTTTTATATCATCAAGACATACACACCACCATTATCATCTTGTTTTTTTTATAATATGGGAGTTGGCTTAACATTAAATTCTAGTAAAAATAGCATTTAAGCACTCGGTAGATGTCAGAGTTGAGGAAGGTGAAAGAGAGGGCACACAGAAGGCCAAAGATCAACTCGACATCACATTAGAAATAGTTAGAGAAACAAAACAGCATGACTAGATAGTTGTGACAAAAGCCATTCAAGAAACTTTCGAGGTTTCTTTAAAATTAAGTAAAAGTGTTATTTTTTTGGTTTTCGGAAAATCAAGACTAAGTGATATTTGTTAAGCCTTCAGCATCGTGGAACATTTGTGCTGTTGTGTTTTTGTTTTTCATTATGAACATTTCACGAAAAAAATAAGAGATGGGAACACTTGTTAAGAGAGTAATGAACAGCGTGGCAAGATGTTGGTTGAGAAAATAACACGTTGAACGGTGTGGCAAGATGTTGGTTGAGAAAATAACACGTTGAACGGTGTGGCAATATGTTGGTTGAGAAAATAACACGTTGAACGGTGTGGCAATATGTTGGTTGAGAAAATAACACGTTGAACGGCGTGGCAAAATGTTTAAGAAAGTAGTACATTGAATAGCTCAACAAAAACGTACAGTAGTTTGAGAAGAGAACGCGTTCAACGGCGTTACATGATGATGTCGCTGAAACATCGTTAAGAATTCTTACATAATTTGACGTGCGAGAGACATTGCTTGAAGGGGAGGAGAAAAGGGAGGGGCAAAGGAGAAAGGGGGTGTATCGTTGAGCTCGCGTTGTGTAGGAGAGAGAAGACGAAGACTCCAGAATCTTTTACATGTTGGAGACTCCGGCTTCCACTTCCTCCTCGTCGTTCTCGTCTGTACCGAAGTGCTGGGTGCCTGGAGGAGGGCGGTAGCCGGCGTAGTTGTTGGGCAGGGCGTTCTGGGAGAAGAAACCGCCATAGTCCCGTTGCATTTTCTTGGGCTTTATGAATTCACGAACCTGTAAGAGAGAGCCGTAAGTGTGGGCACCTTCCTCGCTGTACACACATAAATTAATGCCTTATGATTACTTGTGGGTACCTCGCTCCTCACAGCTACTTATTTAATGGTATCTTCCTCCCCACATTTATTTACTTAAAAGGTCTCTACTTCCCTATGTGTATTCAATTCAATATTTCTCTTTCCACGCATCCAAGGTTACAAATAATTAAAGTTTTCTTATTCTTTCATATGTATTCCTCTTTGCTGTAGTATACTCAGTTACTCAACAACTCGTTGCTACTTCACATAAACTGATGCCATCATTTCGACAAACAAACAAGGGTAAGTCAAATTGGTTTCCTTCTCCACTCTTTTTCCTTATCCTAATCCTTTACCTCATCCTTCCTCGTTTTATCCATATCCCCCTCCTCTAAGTATCCCTTTTTCTTCTTCCACCTCGCCTTTCATCCATCCTTCAACCCCTCACTTAATTCCTTTCTGAATTTCCCTCTATCTCCCTTCCCTTCTTCTATCCATCCCCTCCTCTACCTCACCTCCTCCCCTTTCATCCTCCAACATCCCAACCCATTCTCCGTTTCCCATCTCTTCCTTTTAATCCTCCATCCTCACTCTCTACTTTTTCCGGTCATCCTAATCTTCCTTCCTTCACCACTTTCCCTTCTTACCTCCGTACCATTATTTCCCCGTTTCCCTGGTGTAATAGTCGATCAAGTACTCTCCTTTTGTCCCTTGACCCTCCGTGATGGTGGCCAAATGGCGAGAATATATGGTATTACAGGGAAAGGTGACCTAACCTAACCTAAAGTGAGATGGTATTATCACCTGCCATGCTATGGTGTGGTTAAACCCGTTTTTTTTCTTCTGTAGACTGTGTTTGATGTCTACTCTAGCTGTGGTAGACTGAAGTATATATTGACTGTTGTTAATCTTGACTCTACGAGTAGTTTATATTGAATGAAATTAACACGCACGCAGATTAATGAATGCTCCTTCACTTCTCTTCTACATCCTTCCCATCACTCCCTCATTTCCTATAACCCATCTCTCCCTTCCTCCTTCCCCCCCATCCCTCTCTCTCTTCTTCTCTCCCATACCTCCCTCTCTCCTTCTTTCCCATCTCTTCCTCTCTCCTTCCCTTAAATCCTTTCTTTTTCTTTCTTTTCCATCTCTCCCCTTTCATCTCCCCCCATCACTCCTTCTAGATTCACGCCTTCCATCCTTTCTTTCTCCCTTCCCTTCCATCTCTCCCTTCTACATTTCCCCCTCACCTCTATCACTCTCTCCCATCCCTTCTCTCCCTCTAACTTCCCTTCCTTCTCTAGACTCACCTCTTCTTGTACAGGTTCGCCAAAGCCTTTAGGGGGCCACTTGTCGTCTCCTCGTCGCCTGATGGGCTGACTGATCTTGAAGGCGGGCTGTGACATCACCACCTGCAGTAATGAGATAATTAATTATAATACAAGCCAATAATTATTGGCTTGTATTATGGGAGGGACACTCTCTCTCTCTCTCTCTCTCTCTCTCTCTCTCTCTCTCTCTCTCTCTCTCTCTCTCTCTCTCTCTCTCTCTCTCTCATTATCTTTGTCTATTTGTATGTATGTATGTATGTATGGCTCTGTCTACCCAGTAGTAACTGGGAACCTGGATGTTAATCAATTTGCGGTTTTTATTCTTGGGTAATGGTCAGCCAGTGCAGTTGGCGAGTTGTCGGGGCTTCTCGGACTATTCCTTGACACTGGGTCATGCAGCTCGTTAACGTAGGGTGTGGTTGTTGTGTTGGCGACAGCTTCTACACCATAAACAAATTCACGCCTCGGTGGCCCTCGGGCCGGCCATCCTCGTTTCATGGGGGGCAACCATTATATATTTATGTATGTATGTATGTATGTATGTATGTATGTATGTATGTATGTATTTTTCTGTCTATTTTTGTTTGATTGTCTGTTTCAATCTATTTCATGTCTGTCTTTCTCTCTATCTCTCTCGGGTGTGCTTGAATGCTATGTTGAGAAATACACGTCTTTAAATATATGAGGAGAAAGAAAGTACCACATGCGGCAGAAACCGATAATGGGGTCAAGCAGAAGAAAAATAAAAAGAAATGAGGAAGGAGGAGGAGGAGGAGGAGGAGGAGGAGGAGAAGGGGGAGAAGAAGAAGAAAGAAGAAGAAGAAGAACCCCCAAAAATACGTGGGTCATGATCAAAGAGATAGAGAAGATGGGTCTGGTGTCCGGAGATGTCCTAGAGTGTCCTCCTTACCAAAATATATCCGATATTTTATTATCACGTCTCCAGGTTCACAATACAATAGACAGACAGAAAGACCACCTCGACCATATATATATATATATATATATATATATATATATATATATATATATATATATATATATATATATATATATATATATATATATATATATATATATATATACTGTATATATATATATATATATCATTTATAGCCCACCCGGACAAAGGTCATCGACCCACAACGGGGCGAAAAAATAAGAGTAAAAAGAAATTAAAAATAGAAGAGAAAAAGATTATATATACCACGAAGATGCCGGAAAACAAGCTTTTTGAAGTGAGACAGATTGTATGAGTATGGAAACAGAAGAAGGCAGAGCATTCCACAGTTTGGCTGTGTAAGGAAAGAAGGGTGTACTATAACGGGTTATTCCAATCTAGTGTGACCGACAGCCACACAGAAACGTTGGGCACTGCGGGCATGACGAGAGTTACGAGCCCTCGGCCTTGCCGACGGTACACAGGATGCCAATTCCATCGAACATATCCCGTTAAAGTACCTGTAAAAGAGAGAGAGTGAAGTAACATTGCGGCGAAGAGAAAGGGAAGAGAGATTATCAACTAAATGAGGAGAGTTAATAAGACGCAATGATTCTGATTGCACCCTATCTAACAGTTGGACAGAAGAAGAGCCACCCCAGATATGAGAGCAGCACTCCAAGTTAGGACGAATGAATCCCTTATAAACTTGAAGCAACTGCTCAGGAGTGAAGTAGCTACGGTATCAGTGCAGCATTCCCAGCTTTCAGGAGGCTTTAGCAATGTTGTGGATTTGTGGCTTCCATGAGATATTAGAGGAAATGGTGAGGCCTATCATATCTATTTTAGAATTTGGCAGAATGATCGCGTCATAAGATCTGATTGGTGAGAGACCATCTAAATTGGGAAGTGTAATTGGCAAATACTGTGTTTTATTGCTGTTGAATTTAACCAAGTTTCTACCTCCCCATTCGGAGATGCTGCACAGATCTGCATTTTTCGAGGAAATGATATCAGCTCTAGAAACAGATCTAATTTGAGAATTAGCGGGAAGGGAAAAATATGAAGAAGAGTGAAGAGTAGACTCATCAGCGTAAGAATGGATAGAAATAGTAGTAATATGAAGTAAATCATTGATAAAAAGAAGGAAGAGAGTAGGTGAAAGAAATAACCCAGTGGGACACCACTATAGGTAAACAAAGAGCGAGAGGTCGATCCTTCGACAACTGCCATGGATCGGCTTTCAAGGAATCTAGAAATTAGAGAACAAAGTGAGGGAGAGAAACCACAAGAGGGAAGTTTTGAGGTTTGTTGAAATTGTGGATTTTATTATGTTTTGAAGTTTTAAACACTGGAAGCTCTGAAGAACGGATCAAGTTTTCCTTCGAGTCTATTTTGGTATGAATATCGTGTATGTCTTAAACGTATAATTAAAGTTTGTATCTGGTATATTTTTCCTTAATTGTACAAATGTAGATTTTTGTTCATCATCATCAATCATCTTCTTCATCATCATCATCAACCTCCTCCCTTTATCTCTCCTCTATTTTTCATCAGAAAGAGTCGAAGAGGTTCGAGTTATCTCCAATCTTAGCTCATTCAGAATCCTTTCATACACACTGGTGGCTGATCCATTACGGCTTATTCTTGTGCACGTTTTGTATCTATCTTTCCATCCATCTCTTCCTTCCTTGTATATCTGTTTAATTGACTTTATCTCTGTCTGTCTGTTTGTCTGTCTGTATAGTTACATATCTGTTTATCCACATGAGAGGAGAAAGAAATTTGGGGGGAAACGAGTAGGAAGAGCTGTGTTGCGGGAGCGTGTTTATACTCTATGTATAAACACGCTCCCGCAGCACACGCACACATGGGGGCGCCGGTGGGTAGAGCGGTACCGCTCTTGCCTTGCAAGCGAGATGTCACGGGTGCGATTCCCGGGCCGGTGGAAAGTTGTTTGGACACACTTCCCAGCCTCCCTTGGTCCCTGTTCACCTAGCAGCAAAGTAGGTACCTGCTGTAAATCGAAAGTTGCGAATTTGTATTCAGGGAAAGTTGTTGGAGCTTCCAATAACTTGCTTAGACATAAACCCTTGACTCTTCGTCTTCTACGCCCTTGACTCTTCAGGCTTCTACGCCCTTAACCCATGAGACATAAAGGCTAGCATGAACTTAGCATGCTTCCCTGTTGGGCGCTGTAAACGCTTCTGCACTTCACCTTACATAAGGATGTAAGAGGGTGCCCAATAAAAAAACACACACACACACACACACACACACTGTGTATATGTCACTTGTTTACAAATATTACACTGGCCACGAAAGTATCAATGGATTTTATTGGTGTGAAGGCCCATTTGGGGCAGTGTAAATGTAGGTCTGTGTATGTTAAGCCTACGATGTATAAGAGATGGATATTACCAACAGAACACTTGACCGTATTCACTTCTACATCTATAAAGTTAGGTAGTCATTCATACAGCTGGGTGAACAGGGAGTTTCAATTGCGTAAACCAACATCACTTAAGCTAGTAATGTATGAAGTTGACCATTGCACCCTATATTGAATATAGAATTCGTTGAAAAGAATTTATGGTTTTAATTTGTTCGAAGAGGCCATATTGAACGTTAAATTCGTTTACAATAGACCGTGTGCGTAGAACTGGTTGAAAAGGTCACTGTGAGCACAGGCCCCGCTCACAACGACTTCTGTGTAAGTATAACTATATCTCAGAGGCTACATTGAACTTAGAACTCAGTTATAATATCCTCTGTGTACAACCACCCCGTGAACATAGGGATCATATACTCCGCACATAATTGGCTCGGGTGGACCCAATCCTCTTTCACAAAAGCCATATTGAACACAACGAGACGCTGCACCGCCTTAACAGACGTCGTCAGTCTCAACTATTGGAGATACTTTGAGAATATTGGGCAATGCATATCAAGTAAGACGAGGTCATCATTACCCAACAATAACAATATTTGACCATAAACTCACGATGAAATGGGTTTTTTTATATTAGACAATATGATATTACGTGTTTCAGAGAGAGAGCGCTCGCCAGTATATAAGGGATTGCATTTATACATGCCTCTTTATCCTTCATTATTGCTGGCAAACAATATATAATGATAAGGTCTTGAGATAAGCGGGAGCATTAGGATGGTGGTTGCACTTCAAGAGGCCTCGTTTGGTTCTAACAGATGGGGGTTAGCTGGGGACTGTCGATGAAAGGTTGCTGGCCTGACTGTGAGGATGTCTGGTAACCCCGTAGCCTTAAGGATTAGAAAAGGGTTTGGTGGTTATTCAGGGGTTTCTGTTTTGTTTTAAGGGTTTTTACTAATATTTAAGAGATTAATGTTTTGAGAAAGGATTATTTTGTACTTTATAGAGGTTCTTTAGGAATTGGACAAGGAATTTGTACTCATATTTAATGTGTTTTTAGGTATGCTAGATTGTTTTGTTTTTTTTGCTTATTGAGGTTCTTTACCTTTAGGATAAGATTTTTTTAATTTGCTGAAGGGTTCAAGATAAGGAGTTTCTTAAATTGTCTATAAGGTAGGATTAAAAGTGTTGTAAAAAATCCAATCATACTCTCAAAACACACCAATGCTCCTTTTACCTCACAGATTCGACCCGTTGAATAACCCAAGGCAGTATATTTGATGGACTGTACCTGGCAGGTAATGATCCCACTTGCCTTTTCATATCCAAAGTAATAGGAAATCCTCAGCCAGACGCGATTTTTAACCTCTTTAACTTTAAGCGATATTGTACAGGGAAAACAAAATGATTGGCTCAAAAGTTTTATTCCATCTAAAAAAATTATATTAAGGTATAGGTTGTTTTGCAGTATAGAATCTCATCTCGTCTCTCAGTTATGGTGTTCTCTCGTAATGCCTTGGGAATCTACGCTACGTTGATTCAGAAGACTAAGTGAAAATAAATATTAGGCTTGAGCTATTTGCTATTATCTCACTGGAAACATTACAAGGATCAACAAAAGAAAACCATCTTCGAAACCAAATTCAGTACTCAGTAAATTTCACTGATTATCATGTCGTTGGTCGTGTTTAATTCTATCAGGTAACCATTAGCTGAGGTAACTGTATAAGTGAATATTAACTGCTCATG